AGGGACATTGGTAGTGCTTGCGAATTACGAAGGTGTACTGTTTTGACGTGTAGTGGCTATGCGGCGAGTAGATGCACAAGTTGGAGGGTTTGTTTTCTCTTTTGACGACTTACTTAAAGAGTATGCAAGAAAGAGAGATTTAAGATAGGAAAGAGATATATGTATATATCTATATAGATATATATGTATATATAATTTCTCTCTCTCTTTTTTTTTTTTTTTTTTTTAAATACAGTACGGGAGAAGTGCCTGAAGAGAATGTGGAAGTTGATAGTCTGAGGAACAAGCCCTCAGTGGCCCTATCAGACATCACATTGTTCTGGGCTAAGGCCCCAAAAAGCCAAGTGCCCGCCCTAAGTGAAGGCGGGCCTGAATATTCGTCAAAGGCAAAATTCGACATTTCCATACATGGGTATTCAGGCTCTCGCAGCACGCCAGTTGGTTGGGAAGACGCGTGAGCCTCACATTGCTGCGTCATACAGTTGGCCCAGGCATTGACAGTTGCGCCTGCGCACACATACACAAAGCAGGGCCAATATATTGGGAAGCAGGTCTTCGGCCTTTGCAAAAGCAGTAGTGCCAACGCACCTGCCTGGGTGCCCTGCACAGATGCAGAAAACAGCCCAAGTCCGGAGACTCAGGCCGTGCCTAACTGCAAAAGGCCCAGGCCCTCAACTATAGTCTCAGGCCTGGGCGCAGGGTCTGGGACCCAACCGGAAGCTACTGGAAGCTTCCAGCCAGTCCGCACACAGCATCCAGGAGGCTACCACTTCCACAAAAGGAAGGAAGCAGCCCAGGCCAGGCATGCTGGCCAGCGCTGGCAATGCGGAAGTGCTGCTGCGCTCTCGCTTGATGCTGCGCTGCTGCCAAAGGCGCTGACGGGGCGCGAGAGGTGAGGTGGGGGGCTTCAAGGGCAGCGGGGCGCAAGCAGACATAACCGGGCTGCTGGGTGCCAGGGGGTACAGCGGATGAGCGGGTGGTCTTCAGGGAAGGAGGCGCTGTGTGGGGTAATCAAGGTCTGATTGAGGGTGACGAGATACGTACCTGGTACATGAAGAGAGGTCGGCGATGGTGTTGGCAGTCGTGTACATTGGTCTTCGAGAGTCGAATCCTGTTGCGTGAACCGGCTGTAGGTAGGTTAGTCAGGTAGAGTAGGTTGGGCGCCAAGCGCCAGACAGGAGAGAGCGACTTTGGATACTGTGTTGGTGTGGCCTACGGGCTTGGACATTGGCTCATTATTTCATTGTATTGCTCTATATGGATGGTTTTCTCGGTGCATTTGTACTCTCTGCTTGGGACACGACGACTTGTTTAGCTGTGTGATTTCGCAACTTGGTTTTATGTATATCGCTCACACTTATATTCCTTGCAATTAGGTATCGGAGCTGGTTGATGATCGCCGCTTACCTGGCACCGACGACATTGTGACTTGGTGCACTGACAATGCTTCATGTGCAGTGAGGATACTTTGCCGTTGGTTGATTAGCGGGGCCTAGGTGGAGAGGCCGGGCGCTGGAAGGCTGTGTCGACAGCGTGGGAGCTGTGGCGACAGCGGGTGTATGCATGATGATGAGAATATGCTGACGTCGCATTTTGGCTGAGGTGGCACTGTATTGCGTTGTGGGTGGTACCGAGGCTAATGACCGGTCATCGAAATGCACGTCGGCCCAATTGGTGAGAAATTTGTGGTTGGGGGCATCTATCTCCAGATACGTTGTTCCCATTCCTTATCTACCCTCTCAATCTCTTCTTACCGTGAGGAAGTGAGTCCAACTTGAGTGTCCTCTCTTTGGTGAGGAGTCGTGTGCGCTCTATCTTGAGAGACGACATTCTTCCAAGTGGCGCATCTGGCAGGAGAGGGCGGTGCCTCTGAAGGGCCTTGGTCGAAGCACGGGTCACGGTCACCATGCCAACCCATGGGTATTAGTACATGCAGGCCATGCTGCTTTGTCCATTGAGGCTCTTTGCTGCGTTGATAGAAGGGGTGTGCGGACTGACCAGTCCTATTGAGACGCTCCCAGACCGTCTATAAACATTTCTAGTTGGGGTTTGGATTGTCCACTGGCTGTGATCGTCGTCCTGATTGCGACGTTAAAGAATTATGAGGACTCCAGGGGCTGTCCTTAAATTGCCTATTGATCAGCCAGATCAGTCAGACGTAAGGCTCGTTGCATGCGAGGGTAAATAAAGGGCAGGCTGGTCATAAGCATGCTTCTTGGGCACAGGGGTGGGCCGTGGTTGCACACCTTAGACACCGCAGCTTGATGATGCTCATAGGTACGTTGGATACAGGGGAAGGGGATTCCAATTGTGAACTCAACTGAACATCACTACCATTTCCATTGCGCATACATCTGCTCACATTAGTCTAAGTTTTATTGTTGATTAGTTGATAGACATACTAGAGTAGGACTGTAATCTACCATAGTCATTTCTTCTCGAATCTTCTGTGCAGAACTAATCATGATAGACTTAGACAATGTGTACAGTTTGTGTAGGTTCTGTTGATGCCGCTTGAATAGTAGTCTAGGTAACTCGCCGAACATTTATTTAATTATTTATTTTTAGATCCGGTCAGACGCATGCTGCGGTAGGTTCCAAAGAGGACATTAGTGCAAACAACGTGTGCCTAGCCCATGCGCGAATCAAACAGTGGGGAGGAGAGATCTGACGATAGGAGGCAAACACGACAGGATACCGCTAGGATACCTGTTGTGTTCCGGGTTCTACTACCAGCCGATGAGAGAAGGCTTAGGGCCGAGACAAGGGCCCACAATCTAGAGACTGCGAGGGCAGCAGCAACTGCGACTGAACGTGCGTTAGCAGCAGCAGCAGCTAGCGCTGTAGCTATGGCTACGTCGGCAACAACTTCTGCGGCAAACTCAACTGGTCAAGTGCTGGGCATGTCGACCAGTTCACAGTCCATCTCCAGTACGTCAGGGGCTGGCACTGGTCAGATGGCGGGCTCGCAGTTCAGCTCGCCACCTCCACGCACGAGGGAGCAGATGGAGCTCCTGCAAGTCAAGAGGATCCGCTTGAGGCTAGAGGAGGAACTCAGGCAGGCTACTAAAACAGAGAAAGAGATTAGAAATAGGAGTGTCTGACTCGAGGATAGGGAGGCAGACAAGGCTGCACTAGAGGGGTTAGATGACTCGACCCTTAGCAACAATGAAAAGATCATGAAGGCGAGCATCTTGTCCATGCACGCATACATGGACAATAAACTGGATACAATCTAGGACACCTTGGACCAGATCCTGAATGCCATGCATAAACTAGGAATCAGGTCAGCAGTTTTGTCGTCGTTGCCATTCTTAGCGACGACAGGCCCCTATGCCGCTCAGTCCGGACCACAACCAAGTGGTACATCAGCAGCAGCCTTATCTCAGACTGTTGCTTCTTCATCTTTCGGTCCAACGACTGGTGCTACACCACAGTCGCCACCTGTCTCGCCAGCGGGACAGCAATTTCCTTGGTATCCCAAGACCCCTCTAAAACCACCTCTAACCTTCTCAGGAGACAAGAAGGATGAGGCTCTCGACACGTGGTTGAGAACGGTTCCAGTCTGGGTGAGGGCAAAGAGGACATTGGTAGAAGAGGAAGTGATAACTGTTGCATCCTACTTAGAGGGTTCAACGGCTCGCTGGCTAAATGGATTGGTTGCTTGAAAGGGTTTCGGTAGGAACATGGGTGATTGGGCGCAGACCCACACCCTAGAAAGCTTTATGGACTTAGTGGAAGCGCGTTGGCACAACCCTCAGCAGGCACAGATTGCCACCGATGGGCTACTGAAGCTCGATGCTAGGAAGTATAAGTCAGTGCGGGAGCTTACCACGACCGTTAAGCGTCTGATTGTGTCCCAGGAGTGGAGTACAATCGACAGGTCTTATTGACCACGTTCTTGAAATGTCTTCCCACTGACATCAAGAACTTATTAGCCAGTGAAGCTTGCAGAGAGTATCACACGTTTGAGACATTCAGCAAAAGGCTCTAGACTTAGAGGCTACGCTGGGTAGCTCAAACCCCTTCTGCGGACGGGAGAAAGAAGAAGACTCCACAAGAGTGGAAGAAGAAGGCTAGTTGATTGATGATGGTTGATGCCGATGGGAATCAAACTGAGATCGATGATGTTTCTGAGCTTGTGGAGGGAATAGAGTTAGACGGCGAGGAGAGTGTTGAGGGTAGCAACCTCACTGCGGTAGTGAAGACTAAGGCAGGAAGCCGCGGGAAGGGCGGTCAACAAAGGGGTCAGGGGCAAGCCGCCAACCCAAACAATATAGCTGCTTGGGTTAGAGCAGGCTTGGATCAGGAGGTGTGGCACGATCGTTGGTCGCGTGGTGCTTGCATAAACTGCGGCGAGTATGGCCATACGCAGTTTAAATGTAAGAACCCGAAGGTCTCGCAGAAGATCCCTCCTAAGGGTGGGTTTCCTTCTTCTCAGTCTGGGGCCTCTACGAGCTCCAACTTGGGAAACACTTAGGACCGGTAGAAGATGTAGCTGCTTCTACTCTCGTTGAATCGGGTGATGTACCCTCCCCGGTTCAAGAGTTGGCCAAAGTTATCGACTCCTTAGTCACCCCGCAGACGCATCCGGACCCAACTATACTTTGTACGTTGGATGTGTCTGAAGCCTTAGAGGACCTTCAAGGTGAGTGGTCGGCAAGGGACCCTCGTGAGTCCTGGGTGGCACTGAGTCAAGGTCCTATAGGGGAGCACTTCGCCGTGGAAGTTGGTGTGGGTGGTCGCAAGTGCGGCACCTTCGTAGACATTGGCTCCACGCGAAACTTCATAAGTCGCGACTGCGTTGACACACTGTGCCTAAAGGACTGGGTGCAACACCTTAGTAGACCGGTAGCATTTACTTTGGCCAACAAAGAGTGCATGATGGTGGAGGACTACGTTAAAGATGTAGTTTGCACCTTCTCTTACCCAGGAGGAGAAATAAATCATAAGATATAATTCCTGGTGAGCGACGAGTTGCCCTTTGACATGTTGTTGGGCATGTACTACCTCGAGGTTGCCAAGCCCCAGTTTGACTGTGACAAGAAGGTGTTGAAGCACGAGTTGCCTAGTGGGAGAACCGTGAGACTGGCTAAGTACAAAGCAAGTAGGTTCATAGACTCCTATGGGTGCTTATGCGCATCAACTTTCTATATTTATTATAAACAGAACCAAGAGGAAGGGATGTACTTAGTTTATGTCTCTGCAAAAGGGGAGGCCATTGAAACACCCCCAAAGATAGAGACCATTGTCGCTAAGTACCCTGATCTGTTCGAGGAGACCCCAGGAGTCGTAGACAGGGAGGTTGTCCATGCCATAGAGATCATCCTAGGTAGCAAGACACCTAAAGGGAGAATCTATAGGATGGCTCCGGCCGACTTGGACGAGCTTCGTCGGCAACTGAAAGAGCTCACAGAAAAGGTTTGGATACGGCCTAGCGCTTCCCCCTTTGGTTCACCAGTTCTTTTTGTTCCAAAGAAAGGGGGAACACTGAGGATGTGCATTGATTATAGAGACCTCAATGCCATCACAGTTAAGAACGTAGAGCCTCTACCACGCATCGACGACCTATTGGACAGGGTGCATGGATGTAAGTATTATACAAAGATAGACTTAAAATCCGGCTACCATCAAATTGCCATTAGACCAGAGGACCAACACAAAACCGCATTTCAGACCAGGTACGGTCTGTGTGAGTTTGTAGTGATGCCCTTTGGCCTTTGCAATGCGCCGCGTACATTCCAGCACGCCATGAATAGGATCTTCCATGACTACTTAGATAAGTTCGTTGTCGTGTACCTCGACGATATACTTATCTTTAGTAGAACTGTCGAGGAGCATGCTCAACATGTAGACAAAGTACTTTCACTTCTTCGACGACACAAGTATAAGATAAACGCAGAGAAATGCGAGTTCGGTCACACTCGAATCTTGTACTTGGGTCATGAAGTATCCGCGGATGGGATTAGGCCCGAAGATGCGAAGGTGGCTAGCATTAGGGACTGGCCACGACCCCAGTCCATGACTGAGGTCAGATCATTCTTGGGAATGTGTGGTCATTATCACAACTTCGTGAAGAACTATAGCACGATCGCATCTCCCTTGACTGATCTAACTCGACTTGACACACCATGGGACTGGACCGAGGAGTGTGAGGCAACGTTCAAACGTTTGAAGCATGCTCTCACGCACCATGAGGTTCTCATGGTACCCGACCCGCAAAGGCCATTTGTTGTAACCACTGACGCAAGCCAATATGGCATTGATGCAGTGCTGGCTCAACAGGACGGGAAAAAGTTGAGACCAGTGGAGTACATGAGCAAAAAAATGTCATCAAAGAAGTTGGCAAAGTCCACCTACGAGAGGGAACTCTACGCTCTCTACAAGGCACTTGTCCACTGGAGGCACTATCTGTTAGGAAGGTTTTTCTATTTGAGAACTGACCATCAGACCCTCAAGTGGATCAAGACACAGCCGGTTCTCTCCGATGCACTCAAACGCTGGATTGGAGTCATAGATCAGTATGACTTCAAACTAGACTATGTGAAGGGAGAGTACAACAAGGTTGCAGATGCGTTGTCTAGAAGGGCAGATTACCTGGGTGCGCTGATTTCAAAGTTTGGCCTATCTGAGGACATGACTCGATCAATGGGGGAAGCCTACAAGGAAGATCCCATCACGATGGACATCATTAACAAACTTTCGGCTAAAGACAAGGCCACCACTGATGAATTTGTGATGGTGGATGGGTTGCTCTTTCTTGAGAAGGCAGGGTTAAAGAGATTAGTTGTTCCATCTGAGGAAGATTTGCGTAGTTTATTTTTAGGTGAGTGCCATGACGCAACGGGACATTTCGACTACAAGAAGACTAGTGCTAACTTAGTACAACAATTTTGGTGGCCTAACATGCTGGACGATGCAAAGAAGTACGTACAAACCTGTCAAGTCTGTCAACGGGACAAGCCGAGGACTCAAGCTCCGCTTGGGTTACTCAAGCCTCTACCCATTCCTGCTGGCTCAGGGCATAGTATCTCCATGGACTTCATGGATACTCTCGTGACCAGCAAGAATGGCAAGAGGCACATCTTCGTCATAGTGGATAGGCTTACTAAGTACGCTAGATTAATCGCCATGCCAGAAACTGCCAGAACTGAACACGTCATCAAGTTGTTCATGGACAACTGGGTGCGTGACTTTGGACTTCCGAAAACGATCGTCAGTGACAGAGATGTACGTTTCATAAGCGAGATGTGGAAGAAGGTCGCTAAACACATGGGCAGCCAACTTCATATGACTTCTGGGAATGATCTCGAAGCAAATGGGCAGGCTGAACAGATGAACCGAGTGGTGCAACATCTGCTGAGGCATTACATCAAGCCCAACCACGATGACTGGGATGAGAAATTACCTCTCATCGCCAGCCTGTACAATAACGTTGTACATAGCACCACCGGCGTCAGTCCTAATCAACTGCATCTGGGGTGGAAACCTAGATCTGCTCTAAACTTCCTCTTGCCTGAAAACCGAACTGCTGCAACTCCTGGAACCATTGAATTTGGTGTCCAGTATGAGAAACTGTTGCAGCAGACTGTCGAACACATCAAGAAATCTCAAGAAGTCATGATTGCTTCTATAAGAACAAGCGTCGCCGACAGTCCACATTTCAGGTAGGGGAACGTGTCTGGGTCAAGGCTAGTGAGTTGGGACATGAGTTTGGCATCTCTAGGAAACTAATGCCTTAGTATTTCGGTCCCTGGGAAGTCCTGGACATTGTGGGGAATGATTTGGATGGTCCCTCGTACGTCATTCGTATCCCTGGTTACTTACGCACTTACCCTGTTTTTCACACCTCCAAGCTTGCACCTTTCGTTGAGACAGCACAGTTCCCATCACGGAGATCTATGCTGCCCCCAACCATGGAAGGCCATGTGGACGTCGACAATATCCTGGATCACAGAGACACGCCTGTTCCCAAGCCACCTGGCAGGGGAAGACCTCCCAAACCTGCGAGGGAATACAGAGTACATTTTAGGCATCATACAGATCCAAAGGAAGATCGATGGATTTCAAGGGAGGAACTTGTCAAGACAGCTCCTTAGGTCGTGGCAGATTACGAGAAGAAACTGAAGGGGAAGGCACCAGCATGAAGCATCTCAGCGGACTTTTGAAGCTAAGGAGAATGGAATGTGAGGAACAAACCCTCAAGTGGCCGTATCAGACATCACATTTTTATGGGCTAAGGCCCCAGCAAGCCAAGTGCCCGCCCTAAGTGAAGGCGGGCCTGAATATTCGTCAAAGGCAAAATTTGACATTTCCATATGTGGGTATTGAGGCTCTCGCAGCACGCCAGTTGGTTGGGAAGACGCGTGAGCCTCACATTGCTGCGTCATAAGGTTGGTCCAGACATTGACAGTTGCGCCTGGGCACACATACACAAAGCAGGGCCCATACATTGGGAAGCAGGCCTTCGGCCTTTGCAAAAGCAGTAGTGCCAACGCACCTGCCTGGGTGCCCTGCACAGATGCAGCAAACAGCCCAAGTCCGGAGACTCAGGCCGTGCCTAACTGCAAAGGGCCGAGGCCCTCAACTGTAGTCTCAGGCCTGGGCGCAGGGTCTGGGACCCAACCGGAAGCTACTGGAAGCTTCCAGCCAGGCCGCACGCAGCATCCAAGAGGCTGTCACTTCCACAAAAGGAAGGAAGAAGAACAGGCCAGGCATGCTGGCCAGCGCTGGCAATGCGGGAAGTGCTGCTGCGCTCTCGCTTGATGCTGCGCTGCTGCCAAAGGCGCTGACAGGGCGCGAGAGGCGAGGTGGGGCGCTGCAGGGCAGCGAGGCGCAGACAGCCGTAGCCGGGCTGCTGGGCGCCAGGGGGTACAGCGGATGATCGGGTGGTCTTCAAGGAAGGTGGCGGTGTGTGGGGTAATCAAGGTCTGATTGAGGGTGACGAGATACGTACCTGGTACATGAAGAGAGGTTGGCGATGGTGTTGGCAGTCATGTACATTGGTCTTCGAGAGTCGAAGTGATCCTGTTGGGTGAACCGGCTGTAGGTATGCTAGTCAGGTAGAGTACGCTGGGCGCCAAGCGCCAAACAGGAGAGAGCGACTTTGGATACTGTGTTGGTGTGGCCTACGGGCTTGGACATTGGCTCTTGGCGCCCAGCCTACTCTACCTGACTAGCCTACCTAGTGTGTGAGTGAAATACAAGTGTTACACTAGGCTGTCTCACAAGCTTTGAGTAAGAGATCATCCATGGAAGAATCGGAGGATCTCCTACTGGTATGTGAGTGAGAAGCAAGATCTGGACTAGGCCAAATCACAAGTATTGAGCATGAGATCATCCATGAAAGAATCGGAGCACTACCTACTAGTGTGTGAGTGAAAAACAAGAGTGTGAGTAGCCCAAATCACAAGTGTTGAGCATGAGATAATCCATGAAAGAATCAGAGCACTACCTACTAGTGTGTGAGTGAAAAACAAGAGTGTGAGTAGCCCAAATCACAAGTGTTGAGCATGAGATCATCCATGAAAGAATCAGAGCACTACCTACTAGTGTGTGAGTGAAAAACAAGAGTTTGAGTAACCCAAATCACAAGTGTTGAGCATGAGATCATCCATAGAAGAATCGGAGCGTCACCTACTAGTGTGTGAGTGAAATGCAAGAGTTACACTAGGCTATCTCACAAGATTTGAGTAAGAGATCATCCATGGAAGAATCGGAGGATCTCCCACTAGCATGTGAGTGAAATGCAAGAGTTACACTAGGCTATCTCACAAGATTTGAGYAAGAGATCATYCATGGAAGAATCGGAGGATCTCCTACTAGTATGTGAGTGAGAAGCAAAATCTACACTAGGTGAAATCACAAGTATTGAGCATGAGATCATCCATGAAAAGAATCGGATCACTACCTACTGGTGTGTGAGTGAAAAACAAGAGTTTGAGTAGCCCAATAGGATGAAGAAGATGAAGAAGAAAAAGAAGAAGAAGAGGAAGAGGAAGAAGAAGAAGAAGAGGAGGAGGAAGCAGAGGAAGAAAAAGAAGGAGAAAGAAGAAAAAGAAGAAGAAGAAGAAGAAGAAGAAGAAGAGGAAGAGAAAGAAGGAGAAGAAGAAGAAGAAGGAGAAGTAGAGGAAGAGGAAGAAGAAGAAGAACAAGAAGAAGAAGCATCTTCCTTCCACTCACCTTATTAATTTTTTGGAGATGGAGTCTCAATCTTGATGAGGCTTCTTCCTTCTTGCACAAAACACCTTCTTTGTTATGGCCTCCTTCTTCTTCAAGCCTCTCTCCTTCCTCTCTCACTCTCTCCCAAGTTACCACAAGCTCCAATCACCATAGCTATGGAGTCCACCTCTCTAGGAGGGCAAATGGGACTCCCTCTAGCCTCTCTCTCTTCCTCACACCCAGGGGGCTATGGCGGATCCCCTCCCTAGGGCCAGCCTCACTACCACTAGTCTCTAGAGCTCCGCTCCCTAGCTCATGGCCTCCACCAAGCTCCTAAACTGGCATGGGTTCCCCTCTCCTCTCTCCAAGTGAAAGAGTGTTCCTATTAGCTCACTTGGGCAGCATGGACACTCCTCATGCAATTGTGAAAGTGGCGGACTGAATTCCCAGCTTATATAGGTTAAAACCATCAGTCCGGCCAGCCCATGGGCCTCCCCATGTGCCTTAATGTGAACAGAGGTACCCCCAAGGCAAAATTATGCCACTAGGCCATTCTGGAGGTACCTGGGCCTCTTTTTGGCCAAGTACATGCAGTCCGAGTGGTTGGTACCAACTCGGACTGCCTTTCGGCCTACTTCGGCCTCCTTTTCACCTAAAAAATGGTGGCCCCTTGGGTCCTAATGCCCAAGGGACAACTTTACTTGAGAGAAAAAGGCCTAGTGGATCTTTTTCTCGATTTTTTCAATTTGTATCCCATTTTGGGTAGGCCGAAATATTTTTCCATGCAGCGGCATATTTTCAGCCTTGGATCTGGCTGAGATCCAAGGCCAACAATATTTCGTGCCACCCCCAAGTAGCCCTTGCTTCAATTTTTAGCCCCTAAGTCCACTTTCTCAATTTTTGGTGCATCTGGCTCTCTTTTTGGGCCAAATGCACAGTTTTGTCCCTTTCCCTCTTTTGTTTCTTTCCAATTTGGGTTGCCACCTCATTCCGGAGCTAGCCGTTTTGAGCTGGCCCACAAAAAACGGCTAGTTCCTCTCCACCATGAGATCTGATCTCAAATCCATGGTCCAAAAGAAAACCGGTCATTTCTTTTTTGCATTTTCTCTCATTTTCTTCTTTTTAATTCACATTTTATTGAGATATGGCCCCAAGGATCATATCTCTGCAATCTGGATTCCCCTCCTTCATTCTAGGAGGGATGAGGTCACAGTTGGGACCTACCAGTCCCTACTGTGCAGGTCCCAGTAGGCCGGCACACTCTCCTCCACTCCTTTCTCCCTTTTTGTCTCATTCTCCCTCCTTTTTTTCTCATTTTTCTTTCTTTTTCTTTTATTTCAGTTGTGACAAGTGTCAAACTGTTGTGCACCCTCTTTCTAGGCCTTAGGGCCTCATTCAAGGCCAGGTTCATGGATGGTACTTGGCCGTTATATCTCGGATTTCAACAATGTCACCCCCATGCTCCTAGAGGGCTCCATTTTGCCTCCGTTTGTCCAATTTTGAGCCCCCTTTGCTCCGATTTTTTAAGGACAGCCTTTTTCTTATGTTGAGCCTCTTGAGGCTCTATTTTCTCATGCCTAGTTAGTCCGAGATATTTCGGACTGCTGGGCAACCCTCCCAACATTATTATTTCACTTTCCTTTCTTCTCATGATTCTCCCACTTGCCCCCTTAGTGTTTGCACTAGTAGTGCTAATATTTTCCACCGTCTAGATCCTTGATCTCGACGGTACCGTTTGCTTGCACAATTATTCATTGTGCTTGCCCATGGTTCCTTTGGGACATCTCAAGTCCCCGCCACTTTTCCTCCGTACTAGTTCCGTTTTCTTGTCCCGCCGGCGCGTGTTCCATTTTTCGACTTTTATTATTTGGACTCAATTGATCCCTGGCAACATTCCGGATGGTGTTCCATTTTTACTTTTGGGGGCCCCTTGCCCTTGGTGGTCTCATCATCTCTACATGTGTGCCGATTTTTCTAGGCCGTAAAATCTCATCTCACGATTGTCGTTTACCGTCTTCACTTGTCCCAAGCCGAATTTGTTCCTTTCTAGCTTTTTGGGCTCGCCGTGGCTTATTTTCCCTTAGCCTTGGCACCCCCATGCAGTCCGTTATTTCTCGAACTGCAGTCATGGCTATTTTCCTCGTCCCATAGCCACACATCTTGCCCCATGCTAAAAGAAAATGAAGCATTAGATTTCTAAGTGCATCCGGGCTCAATATTGGCTCCGGATGCACAAAAAACATGTGTTTATCGTCCCCCATGTAATCCGTTATTTTTTTGTTGCATGGGGCTTTGATTTTCTTTGATTTTCTTTGTAAAAATCAAAGAAAAACAAAGTTCATTGCAACCGCCATATTCCAGAATGAATCTGGTCATGGATGTATCTCCCCAAGTGACCGTTTTTTATCGTTAAGAAGTTTTTTTTTTTTCTTTTCTTTTCTCTTTTCTTTTCTTTTATTTTTCCTCCTTTCTTGGACAGTAGGGACCTGCCAGTCCCTACTTGTGGCAGTCCCTACTGACGTCCAACTCACTCACTCCCTCTCACTCTTTTTGTCTCATTCTCCCACATTTTCTTTTCTTTTCTTTCTTAT